TTAAGCATGCTGAAAATATAAATAGCCTCAAGAAGGTTTAGATATTCATGGACAAAAAGGACACATAAAAATAATAGCAAAAAATAAATAAAAGTTTGGCAATACAAGTGTTGGTGAGGATGTGGAGCAAAGGAAATACTATACATTGCTGGTAGAAATGTAGTTTTGTGTTCAACAACTTTGAAAAACAAGTTAATATTATGTTTTAAAGTTAATAGCCACATACCTTATGACCAGTTCCACTCTCTATATATGTCCTAGCCCTCCTAGATGTGCTTTAGAAGGCATACATGAAAACGTTCAGAAAGGCAGGGTTCATCACAGAAAAAAGAGAAAAGAAAAAAAGTGGAAAACCCTCAAATAGTCACAAAATGAAAACAGCACTGAATATGAATGACTTCTCTAAATGCAGAAAGATGGGTGAATCTTGGAAGCGCACTGATGAAAAATGCAATTGCAGAAGAATTATATGTACTGATTCTACTTTTAGACAACTCAAAAATATACAAAGCTAAAAAAAAAAAGTGTTCTTTTAGGGAACCATACATATGTGATAGAACTAATTTTAAAAGTAAAGGAAGGGTAAAAAAAGAAAAAAAAGAAAAGCAAAGGGATGATTAATACAAAAATCAGAACCTTGCTTTTTCCGCTGGAGGCAGATAAGCCAGAGGGCGGGACAAGGGAGGAAATAGGAGTACCTTCCACAGGCCTGGTGATGATTTAATTTTTAAATTGGGTGGGGTTCACTAGTGTTTATTTAATTTAGTTTCATAACTTGCATGTACATTACACATAGGCTTAGACAATAATCTTTCAGTGGGAAATGAAAATGTTTACTTCCCTAATCATCTAGATAGACTTGATGGAAAACAACTCCCATGCTTACTCTGAAAATGTAATTTGGTACCAATAATCGGATGAAACAGAAGGAAAACCATTGGTCTGATCAAGAATGTCTTTTTTTAAGAAAAAAATTTCTAATTTCAAAGTAATAAATGTGAAAAACTAGAAAAATATAAAGAAGAAAAAATGTTAGGTCATCTGTAGTTCCACAATCTAGATATAAACATTATTGATGTTTTGTTACATTTTCCTCCAGTTTTTTTTTAGTATGTAAAATTATAATCAATATAGCATTTAAAAATGCATTTTCCCATGCAAGTATGGAATCTTGTTTCCCTGAAGACAGCAGTGATGCTGTGTGTACATGGTATATTCATAGTCTAATGTTCAGTTTTAAGTTCCATTATATAAGTTGTCTATATAAATGATAACTTAACTTTTAGTATTTCCTTCACTAGAAAATCTAAGGAATAGGACAATCAAACTCAAGGCTGCCAAATCTTTTACACTGTAATTTTTAGCATCTAAATCAGTTATGGAAATTTACATGATGGGTTGGAAGAAATTTTTCTTTTGATGACCTGCCTTCTTAAACTCTGATCTCAACACAAAAATTTGTTGTTCTGAAAGATTTTAAGAAGAGTTTTACATTATTTTTAATTTTTGAAACCATGGCAAATTGTCTTTTGATCATTCATAATTTTAAAGGCAATTTCCCTATCCCTGACCATATATACAAAGGATTAATAGCATGCTGTTTACATCTTTATCCAATGTGTTTTTTTAAAAGCTTATTCCTTAAAAACTACCCCAACCTACCTTCTAATCAACTGTTTAGATGATACACAAAGTTAACAGTTAGAAGATATTTTAATGCATCTCTGTAAGTATAAGGTATGCGTTCTAAACATTTATCGTTGATTTTAAGTATTAAACATCAAAATCTTACAAGAGCTGGAAAACTTTGTGTCTCTCTCACTCTAGATTCCTAAAATGTGGTTCTGATTCAGGAGACCTGGGTGTGCTTGGACATTTCTACAGGTGATTCTGAGGCCCAGCTAGGCATGAGAACTACTGCTATAAGCTTAACAACGTTAACGAATAAAAAACCAAAAAAAACCCTTCTTCAACCAGACCTGTGTTAGCCTGGGGAGGCAGATCAATCAATAGTCCACTCCTATGTGTCAATTTCTGAGAGACATAGCTTGAGTGATCCCCCTCCCACCTGGTCCAGAGTAGTTCAATAAGTGATGAGTGGGAAAAATCTGCCCGCTTCCAAACACCCACCACTTTTCTTGAGGAAAAGGCAGCACATCATTTTTTTTTCACTTAAGAAAATAAAAAATGCTTCAAGAGCCTATTGCCTCCAGGAACTTCACAATAAATATAAAGGAAATTCAAGCTAAAGAAAATTGGGAGACGGCCCTAAAGAATTATTCATCTGTTTTTTGTTTTTTTTTTGTTTTTGGGGGGTTTTTTTGCTTTTGGCCAGTTCACCATGGGACTCTTTATGAAGCATGTCTGCCACTGATAATCTTTTTCTCTTGATTTGATATTAGTGGCTTTACAAAGAGTTCAGAAAGGCTGGGAGAGGGAGATGATAAATGTGAATCAATAGCAGGTTACCAGTTGTAGCACTTTCTGTGAGCTAGTACATACAAGCAAATACCTAAAATAAATAGCTATAGGATTAGGGGTCACAGGTAAAACTGTCTTCTCAGGCCTTGGAATTAAAAATTTAGAAAAAAAGCCAGCAATTTTCATTTAACCACCTTGGAAATGTTTATGCGTTATCTTCCCCTATCCACAAAAGAAAACACAACCACAAGACAAATTAGTCTTTGAACATTTCATAAGACATTAACAACCACAACAACAATAGAGCTTATGCTAAAATTAAAGTTTAAGAAGCTTTAAAATATTTTTAGTTCTTTTCATCTGAAATTGTTTAGACTACCTTCAGAGAAACTTTTCAACAGTTTCCTTACTGGAAAGAGCTGAGAAGTTTTATAAGGCCAAGGTCACTAGAATGATTTGATTTACAAGTTTCCTTTAAAAGAAAGAAAGATTAAGAAGAAACAAAACAGCAGCAGCAAGCACTTTGTCAACCAAAGAGGGCTGAAATAACAGAGTTTTGTGAAGTAAAGAAGATCTGACTGCAGAGGTTAGATCTTTATCTTAATTTCTAGAAATCAGGTTTGTTTGTTTGTATGGTGTACCTTGGAGAAGTAGGTGCTTTCAAACGGTCCTCCCACAGATCTCCTTAGCAGCCAGCCAAGTCTGATCGATGGTCCTCAGCCAACTAACCTGGGTACTACTTTCAAGTCAATCAGGGCCTACCGGTGAAACCTCATACAAATCCTATAACAGGAAGCCACAAAATACAGTGAGGGAAAATGTACCTGATTAAATGGAAAAACATCAGCTGTCCTTGACTTATATAATAGCAATTAAATAATAAATAGATGGAAAGTATATGCAGAACAGTCCTTGAATCTGAGTGCAGTTTAAAAATCAGTACATTTGATTAATAATTCTGAAGGACTGAGGATTCCACGAAGTAGCAGCAAAAGTTTTCAAGGAAGAGCCAGTATAACTGTGTCAATGGAACTAGATGGAACCTTTCTAGGGCAAGAGATAAAGCCAGAGGCAGCAGGGTCCCCTCTCCTGTGTTCTTTTAGGCAAAATGAGCAGTGGTGGGTGGTTCCAGTGGGCGGCTCTGGCTTGAATTGATGCCCTAAAAGGGCAGTCAATGCCCATTCAGAATGGCAACAAGCTCCTGCCTGCATTTAGACTGTTGCCCTCCTGACTTTTTTTCCTGCCACACTAGAGACAGAATGGGCTGTTGAAAAGGGTCTAGCACATCAGAGGACTGAAACCGAAGCTAAGGCTTCCCATTCTAGGGTGCTAGTCACTACCTGGGCCCCACTTGGGAAAGTCAGTCTTCCTGGGCCTTGCTCTTCTGGGCTGTTACAGGAGAAAACTGGAACTAATCTCCAAGATTCTTTCCAGCTCTGAAGTCCTGTGTCAAAGAAAAGGGGGAGACAGGGGCCAGGAGAAGAGGAGGCATCTCTGACCTGACTGGACCCTGTCCTATCTCAGCATGGTGACAGGAATCACCGCTACAGAACTTTAGGAGGGGGAGCACTGACCTCACCAAAAACACAGAGAGATTTCCCAGCGACCTGACAAGTGGCTTGAGCCCAAGACTCTCACACAGTAGAATGGCTTCCTGTCTTACTCCAAAACCCCTTCAAATGACCTAGAGGAGAAAGGGAAAGCCACTTACTTAGGGAGCTTGGGGTGCAAGTCACCATAGAAAAGGTAACAGCATCTCACGGTAGAAACAGTAACACTATGCAGGCAGATCAGTGGAGGGTGGCTCTTCCCAGGCACAAACCACATCAAAACATGCTCAGGATTGCACTGGATGATTTTGCAATTGTTTGTTACAACAACAAACCAACGTGATTCCCACACTTGCACTTGTCTCCTCCAGTCAGCAATGTCAAGTCCTGACCTGTTTGTACCAAATCCACAACCGAGATCTCGAAGATTCTAACTTAGACCTTGACATATTTTAAATTGGGAAGAGGAAGTGGAGGGGTGTACCGCTGCATTTATTTATTTATTTAGCCCCTTATTCAGAGATTCAGAGTCTACTTAGGAGTGGAGAAGATGCAGCAGGAAGTCATGTTGCTCCAAAATCTGTTGGAGCAATGTTTGGCTCTAAATCAAGGAAATAAAAGAGACTTTGAAGCTTAGAGTTGGACCCATTCTCTTAACTTTACAGTATATTTTAATACAATTACAGAGGACATCTGAGATTTTAAAGATCTGAGGTGCTGTAGATGCTCCTCAATTGGGTTTTAGCTGTACCTTGGAAGTCCTCACCTGGAGGGGACACATAGTGAAGTGGGCTCTCTCCGTGCCCTGTAGAACAATGGCCACGCCACGCGGGACCGTGAACGGCCAGGTTGGCCAGAGGCCTCAGACTTCTACCTAAAATTTGGAGCGGAGGGATGGGGGAGGAGGGTGCAGATTGCAGTGACTCAGACAAGCCCTCAGGTGAAAATTTCTCCTGATGCTCAGTTCCCGACCTTGGGCGCTCCAGGGTAAATCACGTCTCTGTGGACCTGTCTCCACCTCTGTAACAGGGAGAGATTAAAAGCGCCGCCCCATTTCCCCAACTTTAAGAAGTCGCTTCTGCCCTGTGGGCTATTTCTTCAGAGGAGGTGTGGGGTGTACAGCCAGCCCTCCCTGGCGAGGGCCCCCTTAGAGGCGAACAACGCGAACTGGTGAGCGCCCCGCCGCGAACCCCACCCGCCCCGCCCCGCGCCATCTGTCAAGACAGTCACCCACCCACCCCCGGCGACTCCCTCTTCCCCATGGGTCTTTGAAGAAGGTTTTTCAAAATCACCGCGCGCTTCCTTCGCTCCTTCCTGAGGCGGAGAGCCTTAGGGCCGGCAGGGCGCACGGCCTCATCTTGTTCCCAGCCGCGCACATCGGCCCCGCGGAAAATCGCTGTAAGGCTCCCGGGCAGGTCCGCCGCAGCGGCAGTCGCCGGGGTCCCGCGCCGCCGCGCGACTGCGGGAGGGCTCAGCCCCGCGGGCAGAGGGCACCCAGCCGCGCCCCACCCCCGCCCCCCGTGCGTCCCGCCCGCCGCAGCCGCGCTCACCGCCCGGCTTCTGCTTCTCCCGCAGCCGCGCCGGGACCATGTCGGCGGAGACTGCGAGCGGCCCCACCGAGGACCAGGTGGAGATCCTGGAGTACAACTTCAACAAGGTCAACAAGCACCCGGACCCCACCACGCTGTGCCTCATCGCGGCCGAGGCCGGCCTGTCTGAGGAGGAGACCCAGGTGAGGCCCCGCGCGCGCCCCGCCTTTCCCGGCCCTGCCCCCGGACCACCGCGCAGCCCTCGCCTGGGCTGCCTCGCCAACGTGAGGGCGCCCCGCTCCTCGCCTAGTCGCCTCCCGCAGTCGTTCCGCGATCCCATCCCGGGAGCCCACATCCTGCATCACTGCCCCCGCCGCACCCCAGCTCCCGGCCCCAGGGGCTCCCCGTCTGCTTCTCCACCCCTTGCCTGCGGGCCCCTCCGGGAGTCGCTTAGAAACCTCACGTTCATCTTTCCTTCTCCCTGCATTTCCAGTTTCCACGAAAGCCCAGGATAAACGCTCTCCTCCCTCGGGGTTGGGAGCAGCGTCCCTGACCCCGCTCTTGCCTTGCATTCCCGGGCTGTTTTCCCCTGGGCTGTGAGCGAAACCTTCGCGAGAGGAGCCGCGTGCACTTGGAGCCCAGCCTTCTCAAATCTATTATCCGCGGGAATGTCAGAGCTGGGGGGGACCTTAGCGATCAGCTGTAAATTCAGCCCTCGGGTGTGGCGAACGGGGAAACGGAGGCCCAGAGGGAGGGAATTGCCAGGAGGGCTCGGGTCGTTAAGCACGCTTTTTCCACCCTATCACATTCCAGCTTCCCTTTAGCTGCAGAGCTAAAATTGCCCATAGCCTGGGAGATTTGATTCGGGTATTTAAAAATTCGCCAGCTCTAAGATTTAGATTTTTTTTTTCTGGACTTTTCCAAGAAGGTAGACAGTACAGCTGAAAGGAGTGGAAGCAGATGTGCCCTTAAATGTATTGATTTATTTGTCTGTTTTTAAAACCTGTATTATCCTGAAAATTGTTGAGGGTAGAGAATGAAACACTATCCGTGATTATGAACCTCCAAGTGCAGTGTTGGCTCCTCCAGCCGAATTTTCAAATTTATTTATTTATTGATTTAGTAAGCCTGCCTAAAGTCTGACTTTTATTTTCCCTTTGGTCATGGGAAGGTAATTAGTTATGCATGATAATACTCCTTGGAACTGCTCCAGCATCTTTCCCACGGGAGCCCAAAGCACTTCACACCTCTAGTCTCAGCTCTAAGGCAGAGGTATTCTTGTTTTTCCCATTGCACAGACCAGAGCATCAGACACTTTGTCCTCTCCTCCGCGTGAGCCACACTCAGGTGAGGCTTCAAAGCTTGTAATGGATGCTCCGGTGGATTCTAGAACTAAGACCCTGGACCCCAAGTCCAAAATGACTTTTACTAATTAAGCCAAACACACTTCGGGTAACTTGCTTCTAGAAAATCCTTTTTCCTAGGTGAAACAGAAAGTCACGTATGCCTGTTTTTAGCAGAGGGAACAGCAGAACTTAGTAGAAGGTGATTGACTGTAACCCAAGTCTTACAGCTCATGTTTCTTGGAACCCTCTGAGGAAGCAGCCTCATGAAGTTTTATCATTTAATATCCCACGCTATATTTAGAAAAGAAGAGGGCTCACAGAGACAATAATTACTCATCTTTTAAATAGAGGGTGTAAATTTATCATGGGCACAGCACCAACTAGGGGTCTAAGCTCTTCTCAGCCTCTGATTCTCCCGTGGTAAATGATCATCATTCCCAGCCTGTAAGGCAGAATAACTATGTTGGCCTTTGTAATGGCTAATGCTTGCCAGGCATTCTTCCAGGCAGTCTCTAAGTACTAAATCACTTACTTGTCACAGCAGTGCTGTAAGGTATGCACTATTAGCCCCATTGTATAGGTGAGGGAACTGAGGCACAGAAAGGTTAAATAACTTGCTCAAGAATGCAGGTCAGGCCCTGGCTGGTGGCGCTCAGTGAATTGAGCAATGGCCTGCCAACCAAAATGTCACAACTCATGCCTGGGTTGGGGATCAGTTCCGCAGTTGGAGATGCACATGTGCGAGAGGCAACCAATTGATGTTTCTCTTCCTCTCTTTCTTCCTCATTTCCTCTCTCTCTAAAAATAAATAAATAAAATCTTTTTAAAAAGCAACAACTAAGAAGTAGCAGAGCTAGGATTTGAACCCTTGCAGACCTGGGCATAATCCAGACCCCTAACCAGGATGCTATAGAGGCGAAATGCAAACAACTTAGTGGGTTGTGAGGAAAAGACCGAAAACTTAATTTATATTTATTTCTGAAAAAAATCTATGCATTAAATGACAATCATCTCAGGCTATTTTTAATCTTTCCTCAAGATTGACCTTATATTAGAGAACTGGAATGAAATCAAGTGAGGGGCGGGGAGAAACGGCACCTGCTTCTCTCTGTGATTGAGGTCAGCCAATTCACAGCCCTGCGCAGAGGTTCCTGTGCCCTTCTCAGCCAGCCCTTCTTCCATTTACCCTCTTCTACTTGCCTCGAACAAGACCCAGACCTGAAATGACTGGGTGTGAGGGCGAGTCAGCCTCACAGCAGGGCCCCTGGCTTCCGTTTCCTGCCATGGAGGCCAACACCTCCTCCCCCCACCCCCCACCCCCGCCCTCGCCCCCCCCCCTCCACCCCGCCGAGGTTGCCACAGCTGGTCTTGCCGCTCTCTCTTCCGGCATAGACCCGCAGGGAAGCATCTGAAAGCCCAGTGCTCAGAGACAGGCAACACTGAGCAAGTTCAGGAAAAGAAGATTCCAAGGTAGCCCTCTGTCATCCCCGCTGGTTGGGTCTCATCTTCCAACTTCCCATCCCCCCCACCCTCCTGCCCACTTCAACCACTTCCCAACCCCTCGCACCCCAGCGTGTGCTGGTGAATGAGAACGGTTTCTTCTTTAATCTTCTCGAACAACCCTTATATTGTTAGAAATGTCTTCTTTAAAAAAAAAAGTGTGTTCTGGAGATATTATGCCAGTGATAAAATTATTTTTATTTACAGCAGGCTTTGCAGGGACCCTTTAAATAACTCAGGGAGGCCAGGATGGGCTGGGCCTGCACATGAGCAGTGCCCAGGATTAGCACACCCCCTGTTTCTATTCTTTATTACTGTTGTCCCTTTACACAAGGGAAGGTCATCAAAATAATTTTAATTTCATATACCCAATTCCCTCATTCCTAACACCCTCACCTCCAGAATTAGAATCATATTCTTCATTTTCCTAGAACAAGTAATACGTTAGTGGAAGAAAAATAAGCACAAGATGCTCCTATGAGATAATAAACTAGAGTTGATTCACAGCCCCGATACTTTGGCAGGGGCGAGAGGGACTAAAAGGGTGAGATGTTCTCTGACTGGGGGCTTTGATGACCTCTTTCTAACTGTCCCAGTGTAGGACCATGTTCTCTGCTATGGAGGGGGGCACCTATAGGAACCTCAAGTGATGTGAAGGGTAATCTAATGGAAATAACTTTTTAAGTTGCTTTTGCTGGGATCCTAGAATAGGTTTTTCTTATGACAGTAATTTGATATCTCCTACGTTTATGTTAGATAAACCTGACAGAATACCAACCCCTGTATCTTTTTTGTTTTGAAGTCAGTGTTAGGAGCCTCTGGGAAAGCGCTTTCATCAGCCCCTTGGGAGGCTGAGATGATCTGGCGTTTTCTATTATCACTGATTCGAGCCCAGTGTAGCTGGGTAGCTGGCGTCGGTTCTTAGAGAGGCTTCCAGTATCTTTATCTGCTCTTGATGTCCTGGGACTATTCCCAGAACTCAGTGGTTTTAGTTGTTAGATGTTTATCAGTGGAATAAAGACCTCTAAAGGTCTCCCCCTGAAAAGGATGAAATGTTAGTTACTAGAGAAAAGGACAGGAACAATGTAAGTTTGCCTCAGCCCCTCCCCATCACAGTGTCTAATTGTCATCTGTTCACTTGGAGTAAATAAATCTCCGTCAGTGGGCGAGGGTAATGAGGCTGTTCATTTATAAGCAAGTGAGGGATGAATGTCTTTCCCAAGGGATAACGGACACAAAGAAGAGAGAGAGGTAGAGCCAGGTGGAAAATCAGCATCAGTGTGAGTGAGATGTGGTGAGATTCAGCTCTGGGGGCGGGGGGTGGGGGGAGCAAGCAAGATGTCAAATGTTTTTGTTGGATGGCAACTGGTTTGCTAAAGTATCATATATACATGTACTTGATTTAAAATATATATGTTTAGAAAGGACCTGTGCTTTTGCAAAAGTTTCAGCACAAACAGGAACTCTTCCCAGAGTGGCGCTTGCCGATTAAAATTGCCGCTATTGTATCATCTCTGACTTTTCTTTACACTTTCCTGAGGGAAGTAATTCACCCTTTTGTAACTTCCCATCAACAGTATTTTTATAAAATTCCAATCCTGGTCATCAACAAAGTCTTGCCAATGGTTTCTATCACCCTCTTGGCGCTGGTGTATTTGCCAGGTGTGATAGCAGCAGTTGTACAGCTCCGTAATGGAACCAAGTATAAGAAATTTCCACATTGGCTGGACAGGTGGATGAGCTTTTCTTGAACTTCATCCCATCCCCCAACGCTAGGGTTTAATTTGCTAAGCATCTTGATGCCAACGCGCCAATTTACAAATGTGGTCCTTGCGGAAGTTATTTTCAGTAACTGTACATTAATATTCTGCTTCACTAATAGTGTAAAGATGTGGGTGGCTTTTCTGAATGAGGCCAGCTCAATCATTTTGTCTTGAATGAATCCTGATAAAAAATGAGACTTTCCTTCTCCAAGTTTTAATTAGTCAGTCTTTAAAACTCCGCCCTTTATTCAGCTCTGGTAACTGGAAATCCTACTGAATCAGACCTTGTAGCCCTGAAAACCCCCCCGCAGAGCTGCCTCATTAACGAAACTGGAACCATGACGCCGTCACACCAGATTTCTGAGCTAACTAAACACACACGTGGCTTTACAGAAGGAAATGGTGCCCACCTTTCGCAGCAGAACTTTGGCTAAAGCCACCAAGTTTTCATGAAGCCTCCCTTATTAAGGTAACTTGTCCCCAGGAGTGAAACCTGGCACCCGGAGAACAACCCCTGCAAGAGCAGGCTTCCTGAAGGGTGGTCTGCTGTCCCTGGCTTCAGAGTGCTTTTCTCCCTGGCCGCCCCACAGCACAAAGGTGTAGAAGACAGCTGATTTTACCAGCTGTGTACAGCTTTTCAGTGTGTGAACTCTGCTGTACAGTTAGGGCGAGTTGCAGGGATGGTCCCACGCCGGGCAGCCAGCTCAGCGCTGGTGCAGAGCCCTGACCTGTCTTGTGGCCTCACTGCCTTCTAACTCCGCAGGCCTCGGTCCTGGGAAACACTCCTTCCCCTGTGGCTCTCACCCTTTCTTCTGATCTTGAGCTTGTGCCAGACTGCCTTTCAGCTCCCTGGGTCTCTGCAGAGATGACGTCTTCCCCAGCACGGCCCTAGAACCAGCCTGTTTGTTCTGAGGTTAAATGTGCAGCTGGGCAGGTGTCCATCTGTGCTAAGTCAGCCCCCTCTCGATGTTTCTTATTGCACTGTCTCCATCAGCACTTTCCCGGTCTGGCAGCCCGTAGCTGTGCTCTTCTGCCTCCTTCCTGCCCTCTCATGCGCTTACCCCTAGAATAGATAATTTTAGAAAACCCAGAAGGGGCAGTGGAGACCCCCCTGCCCCCAGCTTACCTCGTCATTGACAGTAGAGCTGACTGGTTGCTCTATTTTCAGGGACTTCTTCAAGTTCTCTGAGTCAGTTGGTTGCAATAGGTCTTCCTGTTGGCAGGGCCGAGGACTGCAGAGCCCCCAGTGGTTACCTCCCCCAGCGGCTTGCCCACTGTTTGCACGAGTGGGGCACGAAAATACCAGCATTCTCAGTGTACACCAGCGTGTGGGAAAGGCTGGGAAACCCAGGGGAGAATAAAGCCTGCAGGTCCCGACTTCCCCTGCAGTCCTCCCACTCAGCCTCTCCCAGGCGGACCCATGCTTGCTGCTCTGTTTCTCAGCCGTCCCTCTTCCAAGTTTCTTTTTTTTAAATCCCAGATTCCTCCTGGCCAACCTGGTTCATACCCTAGTCTTTTTCCCAGCATGGGTCTCCTTATCCCCTCTTTGCAGGGCTCCCCCCCCTCTCAGTAGCACACTAAAAGCAACCACTGCCTTTCTTTTTTTTATACTTTTTTTTAAAAGTTCTGTTTTTGATTATAGGAAGAGGGAAGAAAGGGAGGAGAGGGAGAAAAACATTGATGTAAGAGAGAAACATCCATCGGTTGCCTCTCGTACGTGCCCCAACTGTGGACCAAAACCACAACTTAGGCACGTGCCCTGACCAGGAAACAAACTGGTGACCTTGCCGTTTGCAGGATGACACCCAACCAACCGAGCCACACAGACAGGGGCACTGTCTTTCAACGTATAAAAATGTCTTAGCCCTCGTCTGAGACCAGGTGTAGAAGAATCCCATCTGGGACCTTCCTTAAATCCATGATCACTTTTGAGAGGTATCAAGATTTGGAGTAAGTAAACTGGTAGGCCCACTTTATCGTCTCTCCTTGCTCAGCGGCCTTGGAGAAGGAGAGGGTGAGCGAGCCTGCTCCCTGCATCCGCAAGAAGGAGTTCTCTGAGGTTGTCCAGTGCTCCGTTATCCATTTTATTCAACAAACACTTACTAAACCTTACAGATGAGCAAGGCCTTTGGTGAGGTCAGCACACACTGATGAGATCTAGTAGCTGTTGGCATCTATCTGAGGCATAGAGGAGACGCTTCGGTTCCTTTTATTCATTCAGCAAACACTGATTACCCTCTAACTGGTAAGCCCTTGTGCAAGGGGCTAAGAATGTAATGATGATAAGATGAGTACAGTCTCTGCTTCCACAAATCTTACATTCTAGAAGGAAATGCAGGTGAAAAAGTGAATACACAGGTAAACAATTACAAATATTAAAAGACCTGTGAAGGTAACAAAGTCCTAAGATGGGTGGAGAACCTACTTTAAATAAAGTGGTCAGGGAAGGCTTCATTGAGAAGTTTCTACTTAAATCGACACCTGGGAATGACAGGGAGCTCCACAGGTAAAGAATGAAGATAGAACATTCCAAACATAAGAACCTGCATGTGCAAATGTCCTGAGGCAAGAAAGGTAAGTGTCACAGTGAGAAGAACCCTCCCCGTGGACCCATCCCTTGCTCTCCTCCTTTCCATCCGGACCACAGAGCCTACCATTTAGAAGGAAATGGACACTTCATTTTTTTTTCCCCAGTATGTGACAGGTAACGTTGCACATTTCCCTCCTGCAGAAATGGTTTAAGCAGCGCCTGGCCCAGTGGCGGCAGTCCGAAGGCCTGCCCTCAGAGTGCAGATCCGTTACGGACTGAGAAGGTGGCGGGCGCAGCGGCTCCCCTCCATGAAGACCGTCTGCTGTTTCTCTCCTCGGCTTAGCCCAGCCGTTTTGTTTTTTCGGTGTAGTGTTGTGTGTTCCACTGTTAGCTGTCCTGCTATTTAACACAATGTTGTATTTTTTTTTAAATGTATATAACTAGAAAAGAAAACTCGAGGAAGCTATGTGCAGCTTCTGTAAAGCAGCGGCCTGGCTGAGAGAGTGGCGTGGCTTGCTCCTCCCTTGGGTCATGCTGACAGATGGTGCAAAAACCACCTAAGTTTGTTTTTGGTCATCACCTCCCAATATTAATTTACTTTCAATATCCATTTCAGAGCAGGCAAGGCCTCTGTTGAAAAGATAACGTAGCCAAGAGGGAGAAACATTTCCTTCTGAATCTACTTCCCTAAGTTGTTTTCCTTATGGTTCATTTACTACATTGAGGTTGAATGACAATGCAGAGGAATATTTGAGTCATTCAGATTTCATAAAGTCGTTCCTTGGATTAAAGCTGCATTCACTTAGAAAGAACCCAGTTAGGCTAAAAGACAGAAACTCCGCAAGCAACAAGACAGAAAAGCAAGTGACTAACAAAAAAATCCGCTAAAATCTTTCATTTACTTTGTTTAAATGTGTCTGTTAAATTTATTTTGCTAAACAGAATGAACTGCTTTGTGTCTCTAAAATGACATTCTAAATAAAACCTTAACTTTTTGTTGAAAATACACTGTGTGAGTCCTCTGAAGATTTTTTACTGAATAATAAACATATCGAAGGAAAACAGTAGCTTCGGTACAGAAGCAGACTGACAAAAGAGCTGTTATTTTCCAAATTCATGCTGTACAAAGCGGGGTCCAGGACTGGCATCATCAGCATTAGCTGCAAGCTTGTGAGAAGTACAGGACCCCGGACTCCAATCCAGACCTACCAAGGCAGAACCTGCATCTTTAACAAGGTCCCCAAGTGGTGTGTCACATAAAAAGTTTGAGCAGCACTGTTCTGTAGGACACTGAGGTCCATTTGCATCCATTTTCTATCACAGCACATTAACCATCTTTATAGTCTATCGATTAAAGTTGTTTGATTGCATGGAACAGTAACTTGGTTACAATGAATTAACCAAATGGTCTTTTAGTCTATCTGTGTAATAGGTTATTGTTCTTACATAAGGCATCAGCAGGTAGGTGGCTCCCTGATGTTGTCAAGAACCTATGGTTGTTCTGTCTCCCTACTTCGCTGTCTTCAGCATTGTGGCTCTTGTGTCCATGCATGCAAAACGAATGCTCGGGCATTGAGTCTGCCTTTCAGGGGGTGGGGGGTGGGGCGGAGAGAAAAAGAAAAAGGCAAATGCCAGCTAAGACTCTCCCCTTTAAAAAAGGTTTCCTGGCAGCTCCCCACCCAGCAACTTCCACCTGCATAATTGGGTCATATGGCCGCTCCTCACTCAATGGAGTGTAGTAAGGTAAACATTTTAAACTGGGAATATTGCTGCCCAATTAAAGTTCTGTCGGTAAGAAAGAAACGGGTAGAGTGGACATCAAAAAAGCCACCACAAGTCTCTGCCATCCCAGCCCTCAATGACATTGGTGCACCCTTCTGAACTCTTATTGACAGTCTTTTCAGTTCTTTAAAATAAAGAGTCCAACAGGGAAAAATATGGGACAACTATAATTGAACAACCATTGAAAAAAAAAAGTCCAAGATAAGAAACACTAACAGTTATTCATAATACAAATGTTTACAAGATCCCCTTAAACATCCTTGACAAGCTTCCTCTCCCTCTACCTTAAAACATTTCTTCCGTAAACACTACACAATGAACCAAGGTCTGAACAGAACAGCCTCATCTGGTGGTCTGGGCATTAGTCAGCACACAGAGCTGGATGCTAACATCACCTTCTGGAATGAAGGAAGGGAAAGGTGAGTATGAGCCAGGAATGTGTGCACATACTAGACAGTGGCAAATGGGGAGGGAGGAAGAACTGTGCTGCTAATATGACTGTGGCCAAAGTGGACACAGAGCTCTGTGATTTGTCCCTGTCACGCAACAAGAGAGATGCTAACCCAGGTCCAGGACCCAGGTCAGAAGTCCTTCTAGTGTAACAGAGACATAGCTCAAGAACAATCTGTCCAGGCCAAGAAGAGCTCACCAAATGGGCAGAGAGTGTGCCTTCAGCTTGTTGAGAACTGTTTAAGACCAAAGGATCACTTCCTGTGCTTATCAGGCTGAAGAGTCATGAGTCCTTGAATGGCCCATGCTGGGGGGAAATAAGGATTCGTGTCCATTCATTCATTTATTTTAACAAGAGCCAAGTTTTTTATTCATTCATTTCTTGTATTTGAAGTTTTCCCCAATGTCATCCTTAGCCTGATAGTCTTTACCATAGTCCTTAACTACCACATAAGTACAACCAACCATTGCAAGGGGTCTTCCCTCTCTGTCGGTTCTACAGAGGGCTCTCTTAGTTTTATTATCGGGAGTCACACTCAGAGTCATAGACCAAAGTGGTAATACCCACCCTAGACAGAGAAAAACTCTGCACAGTCTTTCTTTGCCTTGTATCATCTCAATTTTGCCACTGCAGACATTGTTGCTTTAACTGATATTTCTTCCAACCCCTTTCTCTGTCGCCACCTTTCTCTATCTAACGCTGTAGAGGCTGAAAAGCTGGAAAATTCCCTCCTCCATCCCCACAAGGAAGCTGTGGAAGTCATGTGACGTGATCTGGCCAAGGCTATTCAGGTTGAAGCTTGGGGGGTAGGGAGGATTTTGGGAAAGGTTTTTGCCTTTCTTGGTAAAAAGTACAGAGGTAGCAGGCTCTGTCCTTTTCTCCTTTCTTGCCTTAAATCAGTGTCATTTGTTAATTATAGAACTAAAGACAAGCAAAAAAATGAGACATGCAATAGAACCCATAAAAATTACCCATGATCCCACCACGCAGAAGTAACTTAATCTTAATATTATAGTATCATACTGAGGGGAGGCATGTTTTTTATTATTATTTTTCTAAATCAGAGGGTCCCATGACCCCCTCCTTGGGTTTGATTGATTTGCTGGAACAGCTCACAGAATTTAGGAAAAACAGTTTACTTATTATAAAGGATATAACTAAGGACCAGCCAGATGGAAGATACGCAGAAAGGGGGATGGAGCTTTTCCACCCTCTCTGACCACCCCACCCTTCAGCGCCTCCACCTGTTCACAAACCCAGAAGTTCTCTGAATCCTGGATGTTAGGGACTTCTATGGAAGTGTCATTGTGTGGGCATATTGATTGAGTCATGGGCCATTCAGGATTAAATTCTATTTCCAGCCCCTGGCTCCCCTCCCTGGAGGTCCAGGGTGATCGGGGCGGGGTCGAGAGTCCCAGCGCTCTAATCCAATGATTTTCAGCTGGGGTGCGGCAGCACACTGGTGACCACCAGAATTTTAAAAACACGCAGTACCTGACTATTTAGTCAGGGGCTCTAACCTCTTTCCCCTCAGACTGTCCAATTAAAAAATGACAACAGCCAACAAACAATAGTCATCCAGTGTGAATGAGCCAAAAGTATACCTATTGTTTGGTCAGATTGGCAAGAGATAAATCTTTTTGGGGTGCCGAAGAATTTTGTAATCAGTTTATGTGTGCCATCAGGTGAAAAAGGTTGAAGGTCGCTGCTCTGACCACGTGGTTGGTTCCCCTGGCAACAAGCTCCCATCTGTCTAGGGGCTTTCCAAAAATCACCACATTAACATAAACTCAACTCTGCTTGGAAGGGCTTGTTATGAATAACAAGACACACCTTTTACTTTCATCATTCTGGAGCTACTTCAGAAACTGCAGCTATTTGAGGGCAACATACCAAATATTAAAACAATAGATACTCCAGTGCTCATATTACTTATAAAATCACAAGGGCTTTAGGAGCCGTGTGCCAGGAGCAGAGCTCAGACCAAATATTCTTGTTCTAAATCACAATATCACAGGATGGAAAGATTCTTCCTGAGGACAAAATTTGCTCTTTTGTTTATAAAAACATCTTGATGTGTTTGGGGGTGTTGTTTGTTTGTTTTTGGCTTTGGGTTTTTTTTGGGATGGGGCTTCTGAAGCATGTCTAGTAGGAGGAAAAAAATTAAGAATTTAGAGGCTGTGCAGAAAAAAGTAGCAGGAATTAGGATGTGTTCCATGAAAACTCAGGTAGGAGGCTCCCTGGGTACTTAGGGGAGGGGTGGAGGAGAATGGTCTGGAAAGGTCACAGGTCAATATGTCTGTTGTCCCAGAAGGCTAGTGGAGCTGGCTCAGGGACTGTACAATCTCAAATATTCTATTTTAAATTAATGTCTGCTGTTGTCATGCTGCCACGTTTCTTTGTTATCCTTGGCCTTCAGGAAAGTTCTATGACACAGAATGGCCTAGCATTGGTGATCTTTGTGGGATGGGGAAGGAGCTGATTGAGCCATGTTTGTAGCACACAGTGGTCTGCAGAAGCATTTGTTTCTGCCTGCTGTCTTGTTCTTGTAAAGGGGTAACAGCAGACCTTCACATTTGGGGAACTTCTATTTCATGGGTCCTGGAAGAGCAGTTAATCACAGCACCCCAGATTCCCCACATTAGGCACATGGCCCAGGCTGGCCAATCACAATGCCGTATCCCTTTGCACATAGGGACTGAGGCAAGGCATGGGCTCTTGACCTCAGATGGGTCAAAGCCCTTTGCCAGAGTTTTTCCAATTGGACCTGGAGGGGTTAGGGTTAGTTCTCTGTTATTCTCTTGGACGAAGAGCTGTGGGGATGGAGGCCTGACGTTGCAGGCAGCTGCCTACCCAGCCACATAGAGAAAAACAACTCTGTAGTGTGAGAGCATGAAGCCAGGCAGAGGTGGGAGTTGGAGAGAAAACCTAGGGCCCAGCTTCCCACTCTTCCCTTGGGCTGCCCCCCTTCCGGGCTCTGTGAACTAATGAATTCCCTTCTCGGTGTACATGTGTTATTTGAAGCAAGAAGAGTCCTGGCTAATGGCAGAGTGAAGAAAGGAAGGGAAGAGTTAATCAGAAGAGAAATATCAGCCACTAGAATAATTAATGCAGGAGAAGCAGTAATTCAGAGGAAAAGATAGCCAGGAATATATAGGCCAACAAACGTTGAAAATAATTGGGCATAGAACCAGACTTTTCTCAGTTGACAGAGACTGAGAAAAAAATATTTTTGCATATGAAAGGAAAAGGTGACAAGAAGATAATTTATGGACACCAAGTGCGTACTTTTTTTGAGCTGAGTGCAGATGTATGGTAGATAGGAGGTTGTCACCTTCTTGGAGACATTCTGCTACCGTCTCTTAATGCTTGCCATCTCCATTTAGAAATCTTGTTCCACATTATTCCATTGCCCACTAAAAAGTCATTAAAAAAAAACCTCATGCCAACCATTTCAAATGCATCCCTGCCCGAACTCAATGCCAAAGTAACTAGCAATAACAATGGTAATAAGAAAAATAATTTGAAATTTCACATTCTTTTCCCATGATGGAAGAACTAAGAGGTAGTGTAGTGAACATAAGTCAGGCAAGGATCTGGGACATCAGCCACTGCTTATGTTGGCAAGGCAGGAGAGTAAGATTTTTGGTTTTATGAAGCCTGGTGCTGTGATGTTATGATCTAGAGTGTAAACAATTACGGGCATGAAGAAGTGACGGTTTCTAGAGACCATCACCCGTCTCTGTGAGTGGAACTCCGATCCTGGCACAGCCGC